GTTTGCTTATGGTTTGTTTGTTTGTAAAGTATTGTTTCAATAAAGTAATTTTTAAAAGAAAGAAAGAAAATTTAACAAATACGGTAAATAAACAAACTTGCTGGTTCAGGGACACATTTCAGCCAAGCAAAAATGGGTGTGGCGTGGGGAGAGTCCTGGGGGTCTGGTGTGACCACCCTTTGCCTCTCGGTCCACACAGGGACTAGCAGCCCCTCTCCAGGGTCTCAGGACTGTTGCCTCTCCAAACCCTTCCTGGCAATGCTAGGAATTGAACCCAGGATCTTCTGCATGCCTATTCTGTGTTCTACCACTACAAGCAACAGCCTCCGCGGAATCTCACCAGTGAACACCCTCTCTGGTCTGAAGTTGGTTTCAATTAGTGGGAGCTCAGTAGCAAAATGTAAGAGCTGCAATTTTCATTCTTTTTTGGAGTCTGTCTCCCCACCCCTTCCTTTTATCGTGATAGATTTATCTGTGCGCAAAGCACTCACTCCCCCAGTGGGATTTTTTAAAGATTCAAATTGCAGCTAATTATTTAAGCTCTTAGACTAGAGGCTTAGACAGAAGGCCTCTCCCAGCCTCGGTGTGGTTTCTATTAAAGGCGATATCCATCTGTCAAAGGGCTCTTTTGATTTCTGAACTCTCAGACTAAATAGTTGAGTAATACTTGCTCTCTTCACCCTGCGCTCTCTCTCCTTTTCCGTAGAAAAACACACTTTGTGTGTTGTTTAAGGGAAGGGGGGGGAGAAACTTGGGATCTTCCCAGGAATCTGATGTCCAGGCTCTGCAAGAGCAGAAAAAGTTAGCTTCAGGAATGCAGCTCAAGCTGTGGCCAAACTGGCAAAGAGACTACACAGAGCAGGACATGTAAGATGACTGCAGCAGTCTGCTCCTGTGCTCTTTAACGCATAAGAAATAACAGGATAACTTGTTCCAGGGCAGAAGCACACACAGTGGGATGGAAGCAAAACTAATGATGAGGAGCAGGTATTGAAAGAGATCCGAAGAACCAAGAAGTCCCCCCTTGCTTTCTGGGCAGTGTTCTCCTTTGATGCTTTGTGTCCTTTTCCATCTGTGCTCTCTATCTGCTTCTACTAATTTCCTTCTTACCCTGTCATGTGGGTGCTGCACCCTCCCAGTCTCTCTGGGCAGAGTCCTCCTCTTTCTCTCCTGTGTGTTGCACACCACCGGGGCAGAGTGCCATGGCCTCATCATGCCACATGTCTTAATCTGTGCTTTCCTTTTACAGCCCCCACAAGAGTTGTGAAATCATTTCCATAGAAGAAATGAGCATTTCTCAGCCAAATGGAAGCTCTTGAATGGAGTTTTGCCCCTGCTGCTTTTTGACAAAGCAGAGGCTGCCAAGGTGAAATGGAAAGCTTTGACCTTTTCCCCTTCTCCCCTCCTCTTCCTCTCCCCACTCTCCTTGGCTGTGCCTGCCTGGCAGATACTGGGAAGGCATACCTGCCATGACAGCCGCTAACCTGGACGGCTTTAAAAGAGGACTAGACAAATTCATGGAGGAGAGGGCTATTGGTGGCCACCAACCACAATGGCTATGCTCTGGAAGCAGGAAGCTTCTGAATACCACTTGCCAGAAACCACAGGAGGTGAGAGTATTGCTCTTGTGCTTGGGTCCTCCTTGCAGGTTTCCCACAGGCATTTGGTTGGCCACTGTGAGAACAGGATCCAGGACTAGGACTAGATGGGCCATTGGCTTAATCCAGTAGCATCTTCTTATGTTTTTATGATTTCCAGTGTTCTCTGGCAGCCACCACGTTTTTGCATTTGGGTTCTCTGTTGCTCTTGATGTCATGTATGTGCACTCCTCCCAGAATCGCCTCTGGCAACCAGATGGACATGCATTTGCATCATTTCCATGCAACACAAGAGGGAATATGCACCTACGCACACCATGGGAAGTAAAACCTATATCACAACAACCCTTTGGGTTCTTTTGAACCCTGTTCTCTTTCCCCTCACCTTCCTTCCCACCCACCTACCCTGCTTCTCCAACTGAGTGTAGAGATCCCAAGCTGCAATATATTATACTGTGTATAAATACCATCAGAGTGATTAATCTGGAGTAGCTGCTTATATAAATCTGGAGTTTCTGATACCTCAAAGGAGACCCTTAATAAAAAAAACCAAACCCACAAATTTCACAAAAACAGCCACTTCTGCAGCGTTCTAGAGAAAGACCACGAAAGAATGAAGGGCGAAGGATGCCTCACACTTCTGAATGTATAAACTGGGATTTCTTCAGAGCAAAGAGTCATTTTAATGTAAACATTAACAAGCAAGGTATATACATTCTCTAGGTTGCTATGGAGGCAGAAGGCTAGTAAATTATTATTGGGGGGCTGCACATGAGCATGTTAAACTTGGCTTGCCAGGGAAGCTGGCGAAAGTTGGGATTTATATTAAACATGGGAGGGAGAAGATAATCCGTACAATTTGTCACTGTGGTGGGGGGTATGCTGGACTTTCAGCTGAACTCTGGGTGGGTTTCTTTGGGAAGATAAGAGTGGGCAAAGAGCCTGGCATTGTATGTGATACAATATTTTTCTGGCAACTGCTGATTCTCCGCCACTCAATTTTTTATCATTAGCCTTGCTAAATATACCTGGGTATGACTGCTCCTCGTCCTTTCCTACTTATTTGCCATGTTCTTACTACTTAACTACTCTGCAGGGTCCTTTGTGCCTTGAGATCATGGCTCTGGGTGGCACAAACTTCCCACAACAAGGGGCTGGCCTCTGGGTCCCCAAAAAGAGAGAACATGGGGTGAGGTTGATTCCTGATCTTGGTTGAAGCAAAACTCTCTGGTTCTGCTGGGGCTCATCTCAGCTGCAGGTTACGGGGGCTTTCCATTTGATGATGATGATGATGATGATGCCAAGGTACCAGCGAGGAAGGGCTGCAAGCAGTACCACTAACAACTCCCCGTCACAGCATATAGAACAATATTTCACCTATGAGATCACCTTACCCCGTATGTGCCCACTTGACCACTTCAGTCAATGGAACTGGCAGTGTTAGAGGTGCCACATAATATCTCTTCCACATTTAGCGTGGCGACTGCTACACTTTGGAACTCCCTGCCTGTTGATACCGGGCAGGAGCTTTCACTGTACTCTTTTCGGCACCTGCTAAAAACATTTATTTAAACAAACCCACCCAGATGTTTAGAAAGGCAGTATGAGTTGTCATCTGTTTTTTGCCCGTCATTATTTAACTTCTTGAAAGTCTCAAATTATTGTTAACTTTTTCTTAGTGATAATTTTATTTTGTCTTCTTTTGTAAACAGTTTTGAGGGCTGTTGTTTTTTAAAAGAAGAAGGAGGAGGAGGAGGACATGCTTTTATCTGTCCTGAATCATCCAACATTTAGCTTCATTGGATACCCATGAATTCTAGTCCATGGAAGAGGGAGAAAAGCTTTTCTCTGTCCACTCTTATCTGCTGCAAAGGCACAGGGCAAGGGAGTGCTCTCCTAAGGTAATTGTTCCGACAGAGTCAGACTCATAACAGAGCATCTTAGCAACTTGAGGCCCCACTCAGACAAAGGCCCTTCTTTTGCCAGGAAGCTTTCGGAGTTCTGGAGGGTCACGCGGCCCACTGCTGAGATGCCGCAGCAGAAACAAGCTGCTTATCTCTCACTGGCCGGGGGGAGAAATTTTAGAAGGAGCCGAGAAGACCTCCTTCGGCTTTTGCCTCAACATAATCTCTGCGGGGTTCAAAGGCTGAGCCTGGAGGAGCTCTTGCCCACTTGTGGCCTGGTATGCTGCTCGTTTATCATCGTGCTGAAATGGAATCCCCTCTGAAAGATATAACGGCGCAGTGTTTACTTAAGTGCAAAGTGGATGATGGGCCTGGCAGCCCTGCTGTGAACAAGCAATCCGGGAGAGCTCGGTACAGCTCTGGAATTGACACAACTATTCCGCTCCCACACCCCTGCTGGAGCCAGGAAGGCAATCCGGTGAGCCTTCCCTAGAAACGTAACTGCCCAATCCCCTTGGCTGCAAACAGAAACCAGGGTGGAAATTCCTAGCAGGACAATGGAACCGCGAGAGGGAACCAGACTTGGCTGGTGTACACCCACAGGAGAAGCCTTGTGTTCCCATGCTGCCGACCTGACGCTCGTCCCTCCAGGGCTCATTGCTCAACAGCCGTGTCCAGTGCATAAATCATAAAATCATGGAATTGTAGAGTTTGAAGGGACCCCAAGGGTCATCTCAACCAACCCCCTGGAATGCAGGAATCGCAGCCAAAGATTCCCTGACAGATGGCCATCCAACCTCTGTTGAAAAATCTCTGATTTTTCAGCCACCTTCCAAGGAAGTCTGTTCCCTTGTCAAATAGCTCTTGCTCTCAGGAAGCTCTTCATTGTTTTCTGCTGCTCCAGAGGGTAGGACCCAAACCATTGGATTCAGGGCTTATCCACACTTAACTTTTCTCCACTATTTCCAGGCACAGTCTGCACATTAAAGCTTCATTTCCAGAGCTTTTTCTGCGAAAACCTGCTCTTTACAACTAAATTGGCACAAGCAGCAATCCGCTAAAAACCCAAATTAAAGTTTTCTCTGACTGAGTGCTAAAGAGTGAGTTTTCATGGGGGTAGCTGTGGGGCAAAACAAACAAAACAAAATAACACAGAGCTTTTAAGCTTGGACTTCTGCCTGAAAAGCGCAGGGCAAAAGGTAAGCCTGGATAACCTCAAATTACAGGAAAGGAGATTCCACCTAGGAAGAACTTTCTGACAGCAGTGTGACAGAGGAGACCTCAGGATTGGGGGCCTCCAGTCTGAGTGATGTTTCGCAGGTGCAAACATCATTGAAAGCACAATCACATAAAAATGCCATGGTAGCATCACAAGCACCAAACATCATGAAGGCACAATAGAAAGAATGTTGAAGCAAACCTTTTATGTACCCTGAAGGATGAGAATATTCTTTTCGGAGTTACTACTTTGAAGATGATCTGCAGACATAAGAATGGGACTATTTTTGGGGTTTTTTAATCTGAAATTTTGAAGCAGTATCAGGGCAAACACCCCTGGACGTTCATCACAGATATGCAACACATATTCTCAGTGATACAGGTTGAAACACAATGGAGAGGACTTGAAAGCAGCCTTTGTGCATTTCCAGATTTTGAGCAAACTCATTCCAGTCTTGTCCTTGGCATTGGGAACTGTCTCCTCGCATGCCGTCTGTCCATAGTGACTCCAGCTGGAGATGTTTGCTCAGTGGCCCTCCTTAAAGCATGTGCCTTCTTCCCTCTCATCTTCCCAACATCAAGTCCTGGGCACTCTGGTCAAGAGCACCTTGTTGAGACAGTCCCCTTGCTAAGGAACCACGAGGAATTTCCATGTTTCTGATACACTACGCCGGATATAGGTGGGTCTGCATTTTTGTACGTTCTGCCCATAGAAGGATCCTTCCGTCTGTCCAGCCATGTCTTACGTCATCGTGGTGCAGTGTTTTGGTTCAATAAAGCTTTCATATACATAGCAGCAATGGAGGTTTGTCATCGCACAGCTGTGGAGGGACAGCTACGGAGCAGAGGTCACAGGCACAACTGTTCCCCTGGGCTGGCCTTTCCTTCTCCTGACACGGCCATCCTTGGCATCTTTCCGGCTTCTGTCCTCATTCGCGTTGTCTCTCTTTCCTTGCTCTTCCTTTTTCTTTTTCCATCCTGCAAACAAGCAAAAGGCCAAGAGTGAGACGGAGGAACAGATTGCCTGCTAGTTGAGAGGAGGTTGTCCCCTAACCTGCATCTGCTGTTCAGCAAGAGGACATTAGACACTCTGAAATGGCACATGAACAGTCAACACCACGTGCTACCTGTGCATAGGAAGCTGTCTTATATGGAGACTGGCCATGGGTCCACCTAGCTCAATCTTATCTACTCTTGAGTCGCAGCAATGACTCTCCAGGATCTAAGGCAGAAGCTTTTCACAGCCCTATGTAGAAATGCTGCAGGTTAGACCTGGGGCCATCTGCGCACAGAGCAGGTTTCCTACCCCTGGGTCTTCTCAACAAAGAGAGATTGCCCTCCTTCTCCAGGCTATAATGTTGTCTCTAAGGGGCAAAAAAAGCTCATTCCCCCCAGATCAATTAATGCAGGAAGCTGCCTTATACCAAGTCAGACCACTTGTCCATCTCACTATTGTCTACACTGACTGGCATTGGCTTCTCCAGAATTTCAGGCTGCGTTCTCTGCCCTCTGCACCTGGAGATGCTGTCAGGGAATGAACCTGGGACCTTCTGCATCCAAACCAGATGCTCTGCTACTGAGCTCTGGCCCTTCCCCTGGATGCAAAGGCAGGGGATGGCTTTTCACCTAGCCTTTGAGATAGACATAGGGAGTACAGGCTCCTGCAATGGCCTTGGGTGAATTGAAGAAGTGATGTTGCTGACACTGTCGGTGAGGGAAAGTCAGCCTGGAGGACAGGCAGGAAGGAGGCGGATGGAGGATGGATGGCGGTTAACAGATTGAGGTTGAATCCTGACAAAACAGAAGTACTGTTTTTGGGGGACGGGGGGCGGGCGGGTGTGGGGGACTCCCTGGTCCTGAATGGGGTAACTGTGCCCCTGAAGGACCAGGTGCGCAGCCTGGGAGTCATTTTGGACTCACAGCTGTCCATGGAGGCGCAGGTCAATTCTGTGTTCAGGGTGGCTGTCTATCAGCTCCACCTGGTACGCAGGCTGAGACCCTCCCTGCCTGCAGACTGTCTCTCCAGAGTGGTGCATGCTCTAGTTATCTCCCGCTTGGACTACTGCAACGCGCTCTACGTGGGGCTACCTTTGAAGGTGACCCAGAAACTGCAATTAATCCAGAATGCGGCAGCTAGACTGGTGACTGGGAGTGGCCGCCGAGACCACATAACACCAGTCCTGAGAGATCTGCATTCGCTCCCAGTACGTTTCTGAGCACAATTCAAAGTGTTGGTGCTGACCTTTAAAGCCCTAAATGGCCTCGGTCCTCTATACCTGAAGGAGCGTCTACACCCCCATCGTTCAGCCCAGACACTGAGATCCAGCGCTGAGGGCCTTCTGGTGGTTCCCTCATTGCGAGAAGTTAGGTTACAGGGAACCAGACAGAGGGCCTTCTCGGTAGTGGCGCCCGCCTGTGGAAACACCCTCCCTTCAGAGTGAAGGAAATAACAGCTATTTCTCTTTAAAAGACATACTGAAGGCAGCCCTGTTAGGAAGTTTTTAATATTTAATGCTGTATTGTTTTTAACACTGATTGGAAGCCGCCCAGAGTGCCTGGGGGAAACTCAGCCAGATGGGCGGGGTATAAATATAAATTATTATTATTATTATTATTATTATTATTATTATTATTATTATTAATTATTATTATGGCACTGAGAAGGTTCTGCTGAACATGCTGAAGAGTCTGAGGGTCCTGCTTCTGCCTCTCTCCACCAGGCCCAGGGCTTGGCCTGATAGACTACAAAGGACTGCTGCTGCTGCCCAGCAGAGAGTACTGTTTACATTCTTTAAACTGCTTTTTATTTTATTTTGATTAAAATGGTTTTTGACTTTTTATGTGTTTTGGGGGGGTTGATTGGCTGTTTCTGTTTCGATTATGCATTTTGTGTTTCTATATTGTAATTTTATCTTGTGGACCACCCTGAGGGCTGCAGGTATAGGGCAGTATATAAATTTTAATAATAACAACAATAATAATAATAATATGCCTTGGTGCACGTCACAGTATTTTTATTCTAGGTGTGAAGCAAGAGTGCCTCATGGGATGGTGTTGCACACAATGCAAACCTGTCTTTTCACAGGAAATGTAATCTTATCCAAGGCAAACAGCACCACAAACCAACAGATAGCCTGATACATTTTAAAAACGGGGCTAAAGGGTCACAGCCCACATTCTTCCTCCCTGCACACCCAAGACAACAATGTTGAAAAATGAGGCAACAAGAGTGCAGTTGCTCCCTTTGACTTAGCTGGCCGGTTGTCAGATTGAGCACCACCTGCCCCTGCGAGATACATTCCTAGCCGTGTGTTGCTTATGCAAACTTGAACTGCATCAGAATTGGAGAACTGCTGACTCTGAAAAGGGCCTGGAAAATTCAGCCAGTCCAAAATGCAGCAATGAAAGTCCAGCAAAGCCTCCATTGGATTTACCAGCTAGCCTGATGAAGAGAACGCTTACATTTCGGGACATAAAGCAACCGTCTCTCTCATTCTTTGCCCTGTGCTTATGCCAACCAAGCAAAGGTGCTAAGTGGAACTCATAATCCATTCACCTTCTGGGCACGGGTTCTTTAGCACTGTGCATCTCCGGAGCTCGCTGGTGGCTGGGCACACAGACACGTCCCCCAAGGAGGGCGCCTGAAGGACCTTCCGAGAGCGCTCCTCGTTGCCTCTCCGGAAGCCGCAGAGCTTCTTTTTCTTGGAGCAAGGGCCCCATGGACCCCACTCGCTCATTTCACATTGTGCTATAAAAAAAGCAGGGGATGGGGGGAGAGAGAGGTCTGTTTGTCACAGAGTCATAGACCTTGGGTGATTTTTTTTTGCCTCTGTTTCCGTGGAAACCAAAATATACATCAAGGTGCTTCAGTGAATACAGCAAAGGCTGAATAATCCTGGGGAACATGGTGGCCTCCAACCAAAGTCCCCTCTTGCTCTGGAACCTCCAGGTCCCCCTGGGCCTGAGCTACTGGCTGCCCTGGGCAGGGCAGGCAAGGAGACCTCCTCCAGCACCACCACCCCTCTTGATTATCATGCTCACCAGGACTGCTGCATTCCATGGTGCCATTGGCAGCAGAATAACCCTCAGGGCAGGTGGCGTAACATCTTCCTTTGTGCAAGTACAGGCCTTCCTTGCACTTTGTGCAAAAGTTTCGGCTGAAACAGTCCTCACAGTTGTCGATTTTGCATTCTGTGTCCCGTGGGAGAGAAATAAAAATGAGCAGTTAGAATTACTGCCTCAAATGGAAATCTCCCTCCCACCCAACAGTCCTCCTGCGAGTGGAACCCAAATTAGGTGGCCAAGAGGGTCCCACGTGGTTGGCGGGGGGGGGGGGATGGCAACAGAGCTGGCACTGAAGTAAGATGGAATTGGCACCTGCCACTAAAAGAAAACAACACACAGGAAACAGTTTGTGCCCTGCTAATGTGCTGGGCCCTCATCGATCAGGGGCTTGCTAAGGGGAAAGAGAAGTGTCCATTCTCTGCCTTGAGAACTGAACATGGCCCTGGTCAGTCCCCATCTATCTGTCTAAAATTTGGGATGGCTAAAAGGAAGTCCTCCACAGAGCACATAGTTCAACTACATAACTTGCTCCTACAAGACACTGTGAGGACCTTCCAGCTAGATGGCTTTAAAAGAGGATTAGGCAAATGATCAAGGAAAGGGTTATCAATGGCACCACTGGAGGCAGCAATGCTTTTGAAACCACAGGAGGGGAGAGTTGCTCTGCTCGAATCCTGGTTGCAGGTTTCCCACAGGCATACAGTGGCATGAAAGGGCAGCAAAGTGGTGTTGCTGCTATATTTTTGCTCCCAGGGAGTGGTCCTGCTTGTGGGGTTATCTGCCTCAGGTGCCAAGGTAACCTGACCAGCCTTGGGCGCTGTGCCTTTTGACTTGGTGAGCGGGGTCCAATTTGCTCTCCCACGTCAGGCCGCCAAAGGTATTGGGTCAGCCCTGACTTCACCTCCCTGCAGATGTGATGTTCTGCTTGCTTTCTCCTCTTTGTCCATACTTTCTAAGGGATCTTTCTCTGCACACTCATCCAGCCCTGGCACCAAAGGAGGCATGCTTCCTTCTGCCGCACTGTCCCATTCCACAGGAATGCAACCAAGCTTGTAGCTTACAGAGCTGTTCTTGAGGAACCAAGGAGTGCTCTGGGATCCCATCTACACTTTATTGATTGATTGCATTTATAGCCCATCCTTTGCTCCATGGAGCTCAAGGTGGCCTACATAGTTCTCCCTCTCAACCTGGTGAGGTAGGTTAGGCTGAGAGGCAATGACTGGTTTAAGTGAGCTTCATGGCTGAATAGGGATTCAAACCCTGGTCTCCCAGGTCCTAGTCCAACATGCCAACCACTGGCTATGGGGGCAGAGGACTTTCTTCATCCATTCCGCTGATGTATGCACTGAAATGAGCTCTTGGAAACCCATTATATTTTTCGTTCCAATGGAGTGCCAAAAACATTTGCCTTAGGTGAAACTGTATTTCCTAAGTTAAGAACCTTCCTTATAGGAGTTTAGATGGCTGGCTCACACCTCAGATTACTTATCAGTTGTTCAAAAATCAGAAATCACACAGAATATTACCAAGACACCATGATATGGTGGGAAATGATATTCAAACATGGCTGAATTTCACAAGAAAATAATGCTGGGCTGCTCCCTCCCCCCACCCTATCCCCCCCAACCCCCATCCCAAAGACTCACTCATGCACTTGTTCATGTCTGGGTTCCGCACATCAAAGTAGCCCGGTGGGCAAGAGGGCAGGCAGATGCCAATTTGGCGAATGTCGTTCCTCTCCAGAAGGATGAAGAGTTTGGGGGAGCATTTGAGGCACCCGTTGAACTCAGAGCACAGGTCACATCCCTTCGCACAGCCTTGAGTCATCTCAGTACTGACTGGAAGGAGGGAGAGAGAAGTGAGCACCATAGAGCAAGATCACCTGCCTGCTTCTATGAAGGGTCATAGCTCAGTGTAAGCAGGAGGTCCCAGGAGTTGGGAGCAGAGACCCAAAGCATCTCCCAAACACCCTTTGGCATCTGGTTGCCCATCACTGCTAGCTAGGCCCTTGAGAAGCTGGAGATGTTCACAGAATGCACAATGGGCAGTTGAAGCAATAAAGCAACTAAAACAACAATAATAGATTCTGCCTAAACCTTAGGAAGAACTTTCTGAGGGTAAGAGCTGTTTGACAGTGAAACGGACATCCTCAGAAGGTGGTGAGCGCTCCTTCCTTGGAGGTCTTTAAACAGAGATTGGGTGGCCATCTGTCGGGGATTCTTGAGCTGTGATTTCTGCATTGCATGGGGTTGCACTAGATGACCCTTGGGATCTCTTCCAAGTCTACAGTTCTATGATTTCTTGCTGTCAGAATCCCCTGCCATCTCAGGGATATGGGCCATCACCACAGGGCCCTGGGACTGGTTTGCTTAAGTTTCTTGGGAATGGCTTCTGAAGTTACTATTTCCACCACTGTCAACAACAGCTAGAGATGGAGGACCAGCTTCTTCCCATTAAAGCAGTTTGTGGTTGGGCGCAGAGGCCAATCTCCCAGGCAGAGCAGAAGCCAGCCTTAGAGGGGCAAGGGAAATGACACATGTATGGCTGTGGGTCTGGACCATTCAAGATTTAAACTGCACATGCCAGGCAGACTATGGCCTGAACCAGAAGAAGCTTTGCCGAATCATAGAATAATAGAATTGAAGAGCTGGAAGGTACCCCAAGTGTCAGCTAGCCCAACCCTCTGCAATGCAGGAATCACAAAATAAACAAATAAATCCCTGACAGATGACCATCCAACCTCTGCTTAAAAACCTCCAAGGAAGGAGAGTCCACCACCTCTGAGGTGGTCCGTTCCACCGCTCTTACCATAAGAAAGTTCTTCCTAATGTTTAGGCAGAATCTCCTTGTCATTTGAATCCATTGGTTCAGGTCTTTCCCTCTGGAGCAGCAGAAAGCAAGCTTGCTCCATCTTCCATGTGACAGCCCACCAGACCTTTGAAGATGGCTATCCTATTAGCTCTCAGCCTTCCCTTCTCCAGGCTAAACAGACTCAGCTCCCAAGAATGCTTTGGAATTGCTTCCTTCCCTCACTTAAATTCACACAAGGTTTTGAGAAGAGTAAAGGTTTGCCCCAGCAGAACCTACAAGGAGAAGTCGAGGCTCCCACAGCCTTGTCTCTGCTCTGCTCTCCTCCAGGGAGGCTTCCCTCTCTGAACTCGCTTGGATGGAAGCAGAAGTCCAGATCCGGAGAGGACAGAGACTCACTCCTCCTGGGCCCTCCTTGGCTCAGGCCAACAAAAACATCCCCTTTTATGTCTGTGCTGCTTTCTGGTATCAATTATCATGGACAACTCAGCCAGGTTTTTAAACAAATCGTCACAGGTTATTTATATTTATACTGGTTAATTATGCAAGCATTGGCTTTTGTTTATAGCAAGTCTACATCTTTTTTGACTTTATTTTAAACACATTATTTATTCTTCCTGCAAAGCAAGTGCTCTGACATTCCTGAGAGTCAAAGGCCCGGCTTCTCGGTGGTGGGGAGATAGGCAGAGGCTGCAAAGGCCTCCTGTGAGGCTGGGAGATTGGGAGAGAAGCAGCAGGACCAATTTGTCAACTCAGCCACGACTGGATTTGCAGGGGGAAGCTATTAGAAGCGGAGCCTGTCTTGAGAAATTGGGAGCCGATTCCTTCTCCGAAGTGAGTCCACTTCAACCACCATGGACCACTGGGACATCAGTTTTTCCCCACCTTAATATATTGGAAGGTTTAATTCAAGTCCCGCTTAACACACTTGTGTCTCAGGCACAGTTTCATGACCGCTTCAAATTGTAATAGTAATAATAATATTTTTTTATTTATACCCCACCCTTCCCAATTCAGAAAACTGGGCTCAGGGCGGCTAACAAATTTGAAACACTTAATTGTAGTAGCAGCATAAAATACAATATAAAAACATGAATAACAATAAAATTCCAAAGTTCAGAACTCAATTTGGGGAAAATCCATCTAATAAGCATTAGATAGTCACCAGGGCTAGCTAGCTGAATTAGTCCTACTTGGGCCAGCGAGGAGGCCAGGGGAGAATTAGCTGTGGGGTCTCAGAGCGGGTAATCTTTATAAAAGGGGAGGGGGAGGGAAGAGAAGGGGGGGAAAGATCAGGCTGAATTCAAATTAAAGGCCAGATGGAATAGCTCTGTCTTACAGGCCTGACGGAAGGAGGTTAAATCCTGAAGGGCCCTAGTCTCATGGGACAGAGCATTCCACCAGGTCGGAGCCGTCACTGAAAAGGCCCTGGCCCTAGTGGAGGATAGTCTGGCTTCCTTAGGGTCTGGGACCTCTAAACTATGGTTATTCATGGACCTTAAGGTCCTCTTCCAACTGTAGAGTTGGAAAGGACCCTGGGGGTCATCTAGTCCAAGCTCCTGCAATGCAGGAATTGCACCTCTGTTTCCCTCTCACATCCTCCAGGGTCCACAGAGATGGCTGCTGTTGTTTTGGCACAGTGACTTCTCTACTGTTTACGGGGCAGGCAGGTGGCTCCCATTTGCTCCCCTGCTCTTTGTAAATGGCACACATAGGGACCCAGTGTGGATCTGGAATGCAGCAGACCCCAAGAAGCTAAGCCCCCCACTCCACCCCCACCTGCTGCTGTCTGCCAGTCCTGACTGATGTACATCCCTTCTCCATGCTAGCCCCTTGACAAAAAAAAACCCCACCCCCTTCAGGGCAAATCATGCAGTTAATGTCACATGTAGTTGGATCTGCAAATAAATATACACACACATCTCCCATATCTATTCTGGCAGAAGGTATATTGCAATATGGTTATTGAAATGACACTTCTGGCAGCATAAAAGTGAGACATTCTTTAAAACCACATTCACACCATACATTTAAAACACTATGGTTCTACTTTAAACAGTCACAGCTTCCCTAAGGAATCCTGGGAACTGTAGTTAAGGGTGCTGAGAGTTGTTGAGATACCCCCGTCCCTCTCACAGAATGATTTAACAGTCAATCCCTCTTCCTTGGGAACTCTGAGAGCTGTCACTCAGGGAGGAGAATAAGGGTTTTCCAACAACTCTTGGTAGCAGATATGTCAGATAGCCAGAATGTGGAAATATGGAGTCCAGAATGAAAGGCCATGAAAGCTTATGGGGATGCTACAGATGCTGGACTAGATGAGCCTTGGGGTCCCTTCCAGCTTTACAATCCTAGGATTCTATGACACCCCACACTCTACACAAATGGACAGGAAGGTGGCTAGAAGCTCAGTTTCCTTTGTTCCATAAGAAACACTCTCCAACTAAGACACCTTTCAACCACACAGCATGCAGTTTCCTGAATCTAGGAAACACGGCATTTCTCACATCAATATTAAGGCCACCCTCCCACCCAAAAAGGATCTAGGAGAGGGGAGCTTGGCTTGAGTCTGGCAGGTGGAGGAGGGGCTGCTATTTTTTTATAAAGAAGCTAAGAAGAGCCTGCTAGATCAGGCCAATGGCCCATTAGTTTAGTTTAGTTTAGTTTAGCATCCTCTTCTCACAGTGGCCAACCAATGGGAAAACTGCAAGCAGGATTTAAGCACAAGAGCCCTCTCCTCTCCTGTGTTTCCCAGCAACTGGCATTTAAAAGCATTGCTGCCTCCAACTGTGGAGGCAGAGCAGAGCCATCTTCATCAAATCAAGGCCGGATCACCCTCCTAGAGGATTCCTGTCAGCCCCAAGCCCTGCGTTGCCTGAAAACGCAATGCAAGAAGAATAGGTCAATGATGCAGGTCTGCAACTTGCCATTTCAAAGGGCTTTCATACATACTTCGTCTTTGCCTCTTGCCCTTCAGTGCTTTGCTGCTGCTGCTGCTGCTGCTGCTGCTGCTGTCTGCAAGATCCGCCAAGCTCAGAAAAACCACCACTGTGCACAGTCCAAGCTGCATAGTAACTTCCCAGCAGCTCAGACCCTCGAAGGCAGAGTGACTGGAAGGACTCCGGCCCACAATTGGGTCGCGGTGTGTGAAGCTTTTTCCTAATGTGTTCGGGACTTGATCAGAACCACGAGTCTGTACACAACGCCCAGTAAAAGACCATCTTCACGAACCAAGGTCTTGACCCCGAAAGCATTAGGTTGCAGATAACATGATTCTGTTTCCAACCCCATAAGGAGCCTTAGAGGCGAGAGGCGGCAGTCCCATTGGGCACAGACAGCGAGGATGAGCTTGGAGCGACGTGAGTCGTCTGCTTGCACCAAGACACTGGAAGGAAGGGAGAAAGGAAGACGGTTAGTTAGCTAGTTTATTGCATTTACATCCCTCGCTTTCATCCAAGGAGCTCAAGGTGGCAAACATGGTCCTCCCCCTCCTCATTTAATGCCCACAACAACCCTGTGAAGTAGGCTAGGTCACACCCAGTGAGCTTCATGGCTGAGTGGGAACTGGAACCCTGGTATCCCACTCTGGCACTCTAACCACTACTCCCCACTGGTTCTCCAAGCCTTCATTTCACAGCCTTCCTTCTCAACTGCTCTAGATCCCTAGAAGGCTCCCGGCAGGCATCTTCTGACATTTTGCCTTTCTGAAAACAGTCAAGACTGTGACAGTTTCCAAATCTGCTACCACTTAAGGCTGTGACAGTCAGGTGCTGCATGCAGCAGACAAAACAAGGAGCAGAGGTCAAGTAACAAAGGGGGTGTAGTATTTATATACAGGTTGGGCCACTTCCTTTATCATTCTGTGGAACCTCCCACTCTGCTAGAGCTGGAAAGGCCCATAATTCAGAACACATCTGTGGGCGCCTCTCCTGCTTGTAAGACCACTGTGGCAGGACTCCAGCGAAGAGGAGGAGAAAGGAGCTGAAAGACTCTTTTCAGCATTACACAGACCACAGGCTTGAACAGCACCACACATGCCACGGAAAGGGCAAATTCCACGCTAGGGATCACTAGGAATGGAATTGAAAATAAAACTGCCAGTATCATAATGCCGTTACACAATTCTAGGGTGTGGCCGTAGTTGGAATACTGTGTACAGTTATGGATGCCTCGTCTCAAAAAGGATATTGCACAGCTGGGAAAGGTCCAGGAAAGGGGAACCAATGGGATGGAGCGACTCCCCTGTGAGGAATGGTTGCAGCATTTAGGACTTTTCAGTTTAGAGAAAAGGCAAGGAAGAGGTGCCATGATAGAAGTTAATAAATGGAGAGCATGAATAGAGAAAAGGTTTTCTCCCTGTCTAGAACTCCTGGACATCCAATGAAGCTGAATGTTGGAAGATTCAGGGCACATCCAAGGAAATACTTCTTCACGCAGCACAGAATTAAACCATGGAACTCGCTTCCACAGGAGGTAATATGATGGCCTCCAACCTGAATGGCTTTAAAAGAGAATTGGACAAATTCCTGGAGAACAGGACTACCAGTGGCTACTAGTCAATATGGCTGTGCTCTGCCTCCCTGGTCGGAGGCAGGAATGCTTCTGAATACCAGCTGCAAGTATTTCACAGAAGGGGAAAGGGCTCTTGTGCTTGAATCTTGCTTTGGGGTTTCCCACAGGCATCTGGTCAGCCCCTGTGAGAAAAGGATGCTGGACTAGATGAGCTGTTGCCCTGACCCAGCAGGCTCTTCTGATGTCCTTATGCTCCAAGTCGAGTTTGGTAGTGGCATAGCTAATTGCAGGCCTAAGGAGCCAGGTCATTGTTGGCCTTGGCTGAGAGATGGAGCAACTGCAGTTCAAGCCCTTGAGCCAAACAGATGGAGCCGAACCTTCTCTCCACGCTTCTGCCGTCACTCTTCAGGTCGTTGCCAAGGCTGCCAGATTATCTTGGTGTCAAGCATCTGTTTGCACTTACGAGGGACACTGTATCATTAAACTTGTCTGCGTCGATCGTGTGTGTATGCCTGCGCACGTGCACGTAGATTTCAAATAAACAATTAGCTGCTTGTGTAAATCCTGCCTGCCTCTTGACTTGGAAGTCTGTCTGGTGCACTTGGCATCACCTTTTAAGCTTCTCTGACCAAGCATGGTTTCATCTTTAGTGAGGGTGGGGAAGAGGGGGACTAGGAGCACCCAAAACTGTTTCCCAAGTAGTTGAGAATGAGAAACAGCCTTTGAGAAATCCATTCTGCTGAAAGGATCCTCTGTTAACCCCAAACCACTGTTGAATGTGCAGGAACACAGCATGAGGTCCTAAGAGCCCTCCTGGATCCAGCCAAAGGGGGCCCATCTAGTCCAGCATTCTGTTTAGACATTGGCCAACTAGAAGTCTATGTGATCAAGAACAGAAATTTAGGCCACGGAAGCGAAAGGGAAAGGTGTGATTCCTGCATCGCAGGGGGTTGGACTAGATGACCCTTGGGATCCCTTTCAACTCTACAGTTCTATGATTCTAGGTAAAACTCATTTATTAGTAGCAGTAGTAGTATTCCATCACTTACTAGATAAAATATCTCAAAGTGACTATTATAAAAGCATACAGAATACAAAATTGAAAGTGAGTACAAAATAAATAGGGACGCAGGTGGCGCTGTGGGTTAAAGCCTCAGCGCCTAGGACTTGCCGATCGAAAGGTTGGCAGTTCGAATCCCCGTGGCGGGGTGCGCTCCCGTCGTTCGGTCCCAGCGCCTGCCAACCTAGCAGTTCGAAAGCACCTTCGGGTGCAAGTAGATAAATAGGGACCGCTTACCAGCGGGAAGGTAAACGGCGTTCCGTGTGCAGCTCTGGCTCGCCAGATGCGGCTTGTCACGCTGGCCACGTGACCCGGAAGTGTCTGCGGACAGCGCTGGCTCCCGGCCTATAGAGTGAGATGAGCGCACAACCCTAGAGTCTGGCAAGACTGGCCCGTACGGGCAGGGGTACCTTTACCTTTACCTTTCAAAATTAATAATAATAATAATAATAATAATAATAATAATAATAATAATAATTTATAACCCACCCATCTGGCTGGGCTTCCCCAGCCACTCTGGGCGGCTTCCAACAGAATATTAAAATACAATAGTCTATTAAACATTAAAAGCTTCCCTAAACAGGGCTGCCTTCAGATGTCTTCTAAAAGTCTGGCAGTTGTTTTTCTCTTTGACATCGGGTGGGAGGACATTCCACAGGGCGGGTGCCACTACCGAGAAGGCCCTCTGCCTGGTTCCCTGTAACTTGGCTTCTCACAGCGAGGGAACCGCCAGAAGGCCCTCGGCACTGGACCTCAGAACGATGGGGGTGGAGACGCTCCTTCAGGTTTGCACCAGGCATTTGACATCACAGCACAAATTAGGAGTTTCGTCCATGTCCCACCCGCCTTCCTAGAGATGATTTTAGACCTGGTGTCATGGGTCTCCATTTCTTTCATTCTTTAGAACTTCAGCACTGCCTGAGGTCCTCTTGTTGGGGCAATTCAGGATCTCATGACCGCCTTGGCAAACTGGGGGCTCTCACAGAATGACACATGTGGCAACAGGTGACCCATACAGTCTGAAAGTGTGGTTTGGGTGGGGAGCTGGTGGTCCATGTTGGGTGGAGGTGTCAACAGGGCCTTCATCACTACCTCAAGGGGTTTGGACTCACAGAGTAACCTTCAGAGGTTGACGGTGTTCTGAAAGCCCTTGGAGAATTTCCTGTTGACCTTGCTGGCTCACCTATCAAAACCTAGTCAGTCTTTGTCCATAAGAACATGAGAAGAGGCTGCTGGATGAGGCTAATGGCCCATCTAGTGCTGCCTTCTGTTCTCACAGTGGCCAACCATACGCTTGTGGGAAACCTGCAAACAGGATTCGAGGCCAAGAGCCCTGTCCCCTCCTGTGGTTTCCAGCAGCTGGTCTTCGAAAGCATTGCTGCCTCCATCTGTGGAGGCTCAAGTGACAATTGTGGCTTAAAGTGCTTCTTACTGATTTCATTTGACCCATGGAAAAAAGCAGGATCACTACAGTTATCCACACTTTACTAAACCCAGATTAGATTATGCAGTATTTGTAGGGAAGCCTATGAATAAAAGTTTTGGAAACTGCAACTGGTCTAGGTTATTAACAGATGCTGGCCAGCTGGCCAGATTCTGCCAGTGCTGAAACATCTTTTCTGGCTTCCAGTTTGTTTCTGTGCGCAATATAAGGGATGTGACTTTTTCTCTTCCTGGGCTAGGCTCCACAGGGATGTTTCCAAGCAACTTTAATAATATCCTTTCGGCATCAGGGGAAAACTATTTCAATTACTAAGGCCTCAAATTATGGCCAGTCTTTTTTAGGTCTTCTGCAAAGTGCAATTTTGGGATTTGCATAGTGGATTATTGGGGGGGGGGTTAGTTGAGCTTTTTAGAGTTAAAACAATAAACTTTTATGAAAGTGGTCTTAGATTTGTGTGTGTGTGTGAGAGAGAGAGTGTGTGTAATATATAATCAGAAGAACTTTTTGATAGTAAGCTATGCAATCGTGGTACAGGCCACATTGGAAGGTGGTAGACTCTTCTTCCTTTGAAGTTTTTAATCAGGTTGGTAGCCATCTGTCTGTGATTCTTGGGTTGAAGGGGGATGGACTTGATGACCCTTGGGGGACCCATCCAACTCTACATTTCTATGATTCTGTATAGCAAATACTAGGGGCTCTGACCCTACTTGCTCCATTCACCAACCTCACCTACTCCTTTGGCAACCCCCTTTCCCCCACCAAACACCTCTCCCTTTACACCTCCCCACTCCTTAGACCCTATCCCTCCCAGCTCACCCCAGTCACTCCTTTTTAAGTGAGCCAGGGGAGGGGCATTTCACAGAGCAGCTAGCTATGTGGGTGAAGCCCCCCCCCTTCCATTAAACCTCACTGCAGGTTCATTGAGCATAGCAAGGGCAGGTGCATCATCCAGAAGCTCACTATATCATTGAGTGAATGGCCTCTTCACTCTCCACCAAACCTCACTGCAGGCACATTAAATGGGCTCACCATTCTCATGCTGCAGTTTATTATTTATTGCATTTATTTCTTGTGTTTATGTCCCACCTTTCCACAAAGGAGCCCAAGGTGGCAAACCTAGTTCTCCCTAATTTATCCTCACAACAAACCTGTGAGGTGGGTTAGGCTAAGAGACAGTGACCCAGTGAGCTCCATGGCTCAATGGTGATTTGAACCCTGGCCTCCCAGGTCCTAGTCTAACATACTAACTGGCCACACCAGCATGATGACATTATACCTTTTTATGTGTATAGGAAGATAGGTAGATGATCTATCTATCTATCTATCTATCTAGTAAACCAATGTCTCTTCAGTGTTCTGTGTGTGTCCC